AAGGATGTAGGCACCAGGTCAGCTCTGGGCCCAGAACCATGCCCTTCCCCCTCTCTCACCTCCCTTCTCTCCAGCCTCACCGGCACACAGCCCCTGGTCTCCCCGGCCCCCGCTTCTCTAGCTGGATCAATTCTGATCAGGTGCCTCTCCGTTAAAACTCCATTAGTGGCTCTCCGTGACTGAGGCCCAAGTGACCGCTCTCTGTGGCACACTTGTCCTAGATCCTTGTCTCTAGTTCTCTCTGTTGGTTTGTCTGGTGCTGGCTTGACAGCCACAGACCTTTGTTCCTTATCCCCCAGTGGGTATGCATGCTGACAAGCATGGCTTTCCAGACAGCTTCCTCTTCCCAGAATGCCTTTCTTCTCGCTCTCCCCAAAACTTGCCCTTAACCTTGGAGCCTTCCTGAATAGCTCTCCTCTTGTGCTCCGTGTGCAGTCTGCCAAGAAATCCAGGTGGATTCAGCCAGCAGGACCCGAACCTGCCAGCTGCTTGCTGCCTGCACTACCGCTCACCTCCGAGACTGTCCGGTTCCACTGACGTCACAGCCAGAGCTCCCTAAATGAACGGGGCTTCTACCCTCATCCTCTCCCTTAGTCCCGCCACACTCTGCCCTCAGCACAGCAGCCTTTGTGACCCAGTAGCGCAAGTCAGACCCTGTCCCCCACCTCAGGGCCCAGCACACATGACAGCCAGAAGTGAATTATCCGCAGAAGCCCCCTCTTGATGGCACCATTAGGCTGGCCTGAGGGAGGCAGGGACCAGGGGCTTTGTAGAAGGACCAGCCCATTGGGTGTGGGACAAAGGATGGTGGTGTTCTGTGCCCTCAGCTTTGAGCATGCTACGGTCTCCCTCCCTCCCTCCCTCCCTTCCTTCTTTCCTTCCTTCTTTTCTTTCCACAGGGCTGGCCTGGAACTCACAGAGATCCACCTGCCTCTGCCTCCCCAATGCCGGGGTTAAAGGCCTGACTATAAGAGGTCCAAACTGGACTGGCGGTGGTGGCGCACGCCTTCAATCCCAGCACTCGGGAGGCAGAGGCAGGCGGATCTCTGTGAGTTCAAGGCCAGCCTGCTCTACAGAGCTAGTTCCAGGACAGGCTCCGAAGCTACACAGAGAAACCCTGGTCTAAAAAAAAAAGAGGTACAAACCAAGTATTCTTTGTGACTGTCCCGCTCCTTCCACTTTCTCTCCTCAGCCATCAATCTGGCCTTCCAGAAGCCCCGCCCCCCTCCTTTGATCCCCAGGCCTGCTTTGTACACGGAGGTAATGAAATGAGGTGTGGAGCTTCTGGAAAGTTTCTTGTTCTCAAATACCTTCTTCATCACAGAGCTACTTTCCTTGGGGTCTTTTTGCAGAGTCTCAGCTAAGATAATGATGGGTGTGGGAGGTATTTTTCACTTTTCAGACGGCTTTATGGGGGCCAGGGGTACGGCTTAGTTGTTAAGTGGCTGCCTGGCACAGTGGTACACTCTTGCGATCCCAGCACTCAGGAGGAGGACGAGGCAGGAGTTCAAGGTCACCCTTGGATGTGTACAAAGATCCAGGCTGGCTGAGCTTCATGAGACCGGATCAAAACGCAAACAACAAGTCTTTATGTCACTTAGAGTCTAGTGAGAGAGTCAGGAGCTCAGGAGTTTATGGCTGTGATAAAAACTTGGCAAGGATTGCTTGGAGTCCACCAAGCACTCTTGACCAGAATGCACTGGTGTGAGGGAGGGGAGTGTTGGTTGGAGTTGCTTCCTAGTGAGCACAGGGTAGTGGGGGAGGGGTGGAGGTGGGGGTGGAGGTGGGGCTGAGAAGCCACACTGACTGAAGTGTAGGGGTCTGGGGCACAGTGGCCAGACTGAGACTGACCTTCAACTCCTCAGCAGCGCCCCTTACTCAGGGCTTTCTTGAAGGGGCAGGAAACAGCCAAGGCAAACTTCATTGAGAAGGAAGCTTCATTTCTCAGCTTCTCCTCCGGACCCAGGTCCTCTAAAAGCCTTGCTTGTGGATCTGAAGGTGGCCTGGAACGCAGCGGGCACCCAGCGCATGAGGGAAAGGTCTAGGGGTGGCCCTGGAGAAGCAGCTCCAGGCCTGTGGTTCCAGGTGACCCCTTACTGCTTTGGATCTGCCCCGCCCCCGCCACAGGGGTATACCATCCCCCACCCCACCCCGTCCTGCCAGCCCGGGCCGCCCAGGACAAAGGGGTTGTGGCCTGCCGAGGAGGGTGACTCGTCTCCTTTCCCAGACATCACGTGAGGACAAAGGGTCCACACCCTAACTCAGCCGCTAGGGAGTGCAGGGGACTGCAAGATGTCCCAACACGTCCTGCAGAAGGACTCAGTGATTTTCCTGTTACTAATTTGCCTAACCTGTTCTGTTCAAACAGGCTAATTGTTTCCTTTCTGAAAAAGACTCACGGTTAGTGGGGTGAAGTCACTAGAGACGTGCCTAAACAATTGCTACCAGGGGCCGTGGGCGAGCCCCAGGACTGGTAACCGGTTACTCGACAGTCCCCAGTGGCTGCAGAGCAAATTCGGTGACCGCGCGCCCCCTGGTGGCAAAATGAGGTTATAGCAAGGAGAAAGCAGTTGGAGGGAGCCGAGGCAACTGAACTGGAAATCCATGGGGGCGTAAGAAGCGTCTCGGTGGGCGTTTGTGGTTATTTCTCCGTAAGTATCTGTTGTTTAGTGGTCGGATGGGTGGCTCACGCCGACCACCCCAGCTCTTGGGTGGTGGAGTCAGGCGGATTCAAGGCTAGTCTTGGCTTCTACAGCAAATTCCAGGCCAGCCTGGGCTACATGAGACACTAACTCAAAACCAATCAGCCAAACAAGAAATAAAATCCACTGAGTATGTGACTTTTGTTGCTGTTTGTGTTGTTTTCGAGACAGGGTTTCTCTGTGTAGCCCTGGCTGGCCTGAAACTCCCTCTGTTGGCCAGGCTGGGCCTCGAACTAACAGAGATCTGCCTGTCTCTGCCTCCTGAGTGCTGGGATGATAGGTGTGGGCCACCGCTTCCTGGTGAGTGTGTGACTTTTAATAATGAAAATGCTAAAGTAGTAGTATAGACAAGGGCTCCGGTGTGGCTGACGTCACTGGTACTGAGTTCTCTCCTAGGTTCCCAAGACTATTTTTTTGCTGTGAAATTTTCTGAATTTACCGAAGCAGAGCCAAAAGAGCTGTTAAGGCCCATGTGTCAGAACCCTGGGTTCAGTGCATCCTGATTTTGCCCCCCTTGACCTCCCCCTCTTCCTTCTTCATTTATCTCCTGCCCAAGTATTGTAATCCACACATTATGCTACCTTACCTTAAGGCTATGGTAAGCATTTCTTGGAATGGTGGGCAGTTTCTTACAGAGTTACGTGCCATTATCACATCTAGTGTTTACAATTCCTTAGCGTGGTCCATAGGCAGGTGCAGACTGTTCACCTTGGGATTTTCTTCAAAACATTTTTCAGTTGTTTGTGGATCCTGGAAGTCCACACGACGCTGTGTTGCTATGTCTCTTAGCTCTTTATCTATCTCTCTCTCTCTCTCCCTGCTCTCTGTGCTCTCTTGCTTCCTCCTCCTCCTCCTTCTTCTCTCTCTCTCTCTCTCTCTCTCTCTCTCTCTCTCTCTCTCTCTCTCTCTCTCTCTCTCTCTCTCCCTCCCTCTCTCCCTCCCTCCCTCCCTATCTCTCTCTCTCCGTCTTCTATCTCTAGCTTGTCAAGTCTGCCACCCTGAGTTCCACCACACGGAGGGAGAGGGAGGAGAGCCACCTTCCAGCCCTGGGTTTTATTTGGGTTACTTATAGGACAATGGGTAAGGGGTTACTTCCAGGAGCACAAAAGGTTCAAAGACAGCTGCATCAGGTGGAACCTGGAACCCTGGAGTTCAATGCACAACCTGCAGGCAGCCCCACAGTGAGGAGTGTCTTTTCAAGCAGTTCTGCCGGCTTGGAGTTGTCTCCGGGAGTCCCTTCTGTTTTTATATGCTTGAGGAGGGAGGAACCTAGTGTATCTGGTCAGTTTCAGGGGCTTCCTGAAGCCTTTGTGTTGTTTACTTCCTGAGCTTAACCAAGCTTCCCTGAAGGATGCAATGTTTCAATGCCCCTTAGAACAAGAAACTTCCCTCCAAGGTTTATCTGGGAGGAAATTGCTACATGACAATGTCTGTGTAGAAAATCCTAGCTCTTTGTAAGTCTGTGGGCTCGAATTTTTAATAGTGGCTGTGTTCAGCAATTGACTTGTGCGATTCTTGAAAATGTAACAGTGCTCATAAGCTCATAAGCACACCACAGTTTATACCAGTTCCAGGATGAAGTTGGTGACTTGGGGAATGTTGCTGGGATGACCCTCTGAGCCAGGAGCTGTGGATGGCCCCAGGACCCAGGAGAAGGGAGGAGCTTGATAATAATAACATGATAAGTTATTCTCTTACCTCAATTATGGCAGATAGTTTGTTTTTACTGGTGTAACAAATTACCTCCCAATCTACTAGTTTAACACCATGCAAATTTATTATCTTGAGGTTCTGTGGGTCAGAAGTTAGGGAGGGCCCTCACTAGGCTAAAAGGACCATGTCAGCGGCTGTGTGTCTTCTGCAAGCAGTAGAAAAGACCCTCTTCCTCATTTCCAGCTGCTAGAGGTCGCCCACATTCCTTGGCTTGTGGCATCCTTCCTCTGTCTACAAAGTTAGCTGTGTTGGGCTAAGTGATTTTCACACTGCCATCTCTTTTGCTCTCTGTTTGAAAGCTGATGAGCTACTGCAATTCCGTCTGTAGTCTTAATCTCCCTTTGCCATTGTCAATGAGAATTCTTGGAAAGAAGCTGGAGAATCATTAGAGACTACCTGACCAATTAGAACTACAGGGATGTGGAGAGGTTGGGATGTTGCGGGTCCAGAGGCTAATTACCTTGTCTTGGGCTAGCGTTAGTCCCCTGCACAGCCAATCCTTGCCTACTTCTGTGTTGGTACTAACATCCTGTTGTTATGCCCAGGTCTGGGGGACCCCCAAAAGACCACCATGGAGACCGAATCCTGTATGTAGAAGCAAAGAGCCTTTATTATCTTCAAGATCCGAGGCTTGGTCTCTCTGACGAAGGGATGAGAGCAGAGAGCCCTGAGCCTGGGTAGGGTGGGGTTTTTTTTATCATAGCAGAGGTTGGGGGGGAGGGAATTTTCAGGGTTCAGGACTCTGATTGGCTGACATTTGTCTACAGGTATCTGTAAAACAAAAATAGGTATGTGCTAGACTCAGGGACATCTGGCCACCTTGTCTGATGGTTGGGATGTTTGGGATGTCAGGTACTTCCTCTTAGATGCAGACCCTCCTTGGGTGGGGTCAGCTTAAGGCTTTTCCTGGATCTGGGAGTTGCCTGCCAGTAAGCCTGTCACAGAAGCTGTGTCTGGGCCTCTAAGCCTGTCATGGCAGCTGTGTGGTCAAGCTGTTTTGGGGCCCCTCTACAATGTGACAAAAATAAGAAACCTTTTGTCATCTATTAACTTAGGATACTACTAGATTCCACCAGTCCAAAGCTGAGAATGTCATCGGATAACATCTGAGGCCTATAGGATTCTCCCATCTTACTGTAACTGCCCTGAGTTGTACCCACCAAAGTGTTTTCAAATTGACTTACTTTATGACTTTCTTTGTTCTGGTGTTATAAATACTTCATGAAAACGCTTCTACATTGGAACATGGGATTTGGGGGTAACCTAAAGCCTGGATCCCATGGTTTACAGCACCATATACACCTGACTTAGTCACAGGTAGCAGGGATGGAGCGTGGATAACTGTGGGAGTTATTTTTCTCACCTGCACAGGTTGCCTTGAGAAGCCTTTTGGGGAAGATGCTCAGAGCTGGGAGTTAAGATGCAAGGAGGATCCCAGGGGACCTGCTGGTCTGCCTGGGGTAATCAGCAGTGGAAGGAAGTTCCACTGGCTGGTTTTATGCCAGCCTTACACAGCTAGAGCCATCAGAGAGGAGGGAGCCTCAGTTGAGGAAATGCCTCCATATAATGGGGCTGTATTTTAAGTGCCCTGGGGAATCACGATGGTTTTAGGAAGGAATAATGCTTTAAAAGATCATTCTGTGGCTGGCCGGATGGTTCAGTGGGAAGGGAACTTGCTACCAAGGCTGGTGGCCTGAGTTCGATCCCTGGGACCCACATTGTAGACTGAGAAAACTAACTCTCAAAACCGTGTCTTCTGATCCTGTAGAACATCTTAATTAGTGATTGATGGGGGAAGGCCCAGCCCATTGTGAGTGGGGCCATCTCTGGGCTGGTGGTCCTGAATTCTATAGGAAAGACTGGGAAAGCCATGAGGAGCAAGCCAGTAAGCAGCACCCCTCCATGGCCTCTGCATCAGCTCCCTGTTGAGGAAAGATTAATAGCATCATTGTATCTAGGGTAAACATCAGAATGAACAGTTGTTTTCTAGAAGTACTTTGACCTTGAAGAAATCATTCTAGGAAACAGTGATTGTTTTCTGTTATCTCCAGAGTTGTTTTTTCTGAAGGAGTTTTACAGCCTTTGCATGACTTTGGTCACAAGGCGGCGTGGCACACCTGGAGCGTCTTGCACTATTGGGTACTGCAAACAGTGCACAGTAAGCACTAACGTGGCAGGGGTGTGATGTTTTCCTTCAGAAAACATAGATCAGATCAGGGGCTTTGGTATGAGGAGCTTGCTTTACCCGCAAACCAACTTTTGTGTAACAATCAATAAACATGCCTTTGCACAGATGTTAGAGGTTCAGTTCTTCGAAACTACACCTCCCTGCCACCACAGGCCTGAACTGCATCTTGGAATGACCTTTCTTTGACCATCTTGCACAACACCAAACACCCACAGCTCCTGCCTCCAGGTTCCTGCCCTGCTTGAGTTCCTGTCCTGACTTCCTTTGGTGATGATCTGTGATGTGGAAGTGCGAGCAGAATAAGCCCTTCCCTCCCCGAGTTGCTTGGGTCATGGTGTTTCATCACAGCAATGGCAACCCTAACTAAGACACGAGCGCTATAAGGTCAGAGAGGTGGCGTGGGGGTTGGGAGTGCTGTTGCATGAGTATGAGACCCACAAAACAAGCTGGATGTCCTGCACGTGTCTGTAACCCCAGCCTTGAGGGAGGCAGAAACAGGAAGACTTCTGGGACTTTCTGGCTTCCAGCCTAGCAGAGAAAAGGCAAAGCCCTGGGTTCTGGGAGACACCCTGTCTCAGAGGACTAGGTGAGGGTGACAGAGGAGCACACCCACTCAGTGGCTTTCACGCCCGGGGCCATCACTCCAGCCACAATTTTCTCTATTCTGTGATTATCTTTTCTCCTCTTGTAAGAGGGGAATGTGGTTGGTTCTTCATAACTGAAAGTGAAGAGCTCAAGATTTGACCCACAATAAAGTTATGGGGTTTTTTTTTTTGGTTTTTTTTTTTTTTTGAGACAGGGTCTCTCTGTAGTCCTGGCTCTCCTGGAACTCACTATGTAGACCAGGCTTACCTCAAACTCACAGAGATCCTCCCACCTCAGCCTCCTAAATGCTGGGATTAAAGGCATGAATCACCACGTCAAGCAATAGCATCCAGGACCTAAGCCTAAACAATGCTTGTCATACACTTCCATCTTCATAAAGCTAAAACCAGCCTTCTTGCACTTAGGAAAACTGTCTAGGGGTAGACAGAGCTTTGTCATTATGCGTGGGGCCACTGAAAGAGCAAGATTTTCAACAAAATAGTGCAGTCCTCCTCAGCTGGGTTTTCTGTTACTCAGATCTTTGGCTACTCTGTGCATGCTTGCAGATGCCCCAGTGAGGCTTGTATTTGACTTACACACACATTTTATGCAAATTTGCAGATGCAATCTATGGATAATGAGTATTGAGCATGAACATAACACATCAGAGTCAGCTGTAAGTCAGCAACAGCCAACTTCTGTTCCATTTCTATGAATTTTAGAGATGTGAGATATTAATGTGCAGCATTTTCCTTACTAGGGTTGATAACCATTGACAAAATGAATGGTATTGCGTTTTATATATTTTAAATTTTGTTTTGTGTGTGCTCTTGCGCATGTTCCATAGCTTATGTGCAGAAGTCAAAGGAAAACTTTCAGGAGTCAGCTCTCTCCTACCATGTGTGTCCTGGGATTCCACCCAGTCACCAGGCTTTATGGCAAGCGCTCTGAGACATCTGACAGGCTGACATTGCATTTTAAAGAGGAGCACTCTCCAGTCACTCTTCAATCTCCACAGTGATCTAGAGTTTCTCTCCAAATCATGGGTTCTTAAAGTCCACTTGGCAATTGATTATGCCCCATGCCTCAGCCATCCTTTGAAATAGTAAAACAAGCAGATATGGCTTTTTTAAGAAATTGATTTGTTATTTGGACGAGAGCCTGCTGTTGGGTACACATGCTACAATTAACTTCTTCCCCTTTGTGACTTGCCTTTTTCTTTAAGATCAGTTGAGAATGAGAGCCTTAATTTGTTCATATTTACCAACTAGAGCTTTAAAAGTGTGTCTGACCAAAGCCAGCCAGTGAAAATACATTTCTAAAGTCAGTAACAAGAATTTACACAGGCTCTCTGGCTAAAGTCGTACATTCTTTCTTTGGAATGTTATTTCTGGAATGACATTTTTAAAACAATAAAAAAAAATTCCATTCCTTGACAAAGCATGGAAATAGATCACAATATTTAATTCTGCCACTTGGTGGCGCCACAGAAAAACTAACACAACTCTTATTATCCTGACTGTTTGGAGGGTAGTATTAGCAAACCAAAAATACACACCTCTTCTAGTGTTCCTACAGAGAGTGGGTACAGGCTGAGCTCTGCTGTCCGATTCCTGGTTTGCTCACAGATAAAAGGGAAATTAGGCTAGTGAAGCTTTCATTTTAGATATAGTCCAAATAGTCTAAAGGGCTGACCTAGCAGTCCTAGACGTATTTCCTCCATAATAAATGTAATAATATTTATTCTAAAAGACCTAAAGAAATAAAGCTGATGGTCCTCCTTCCTGCCGTTTCATCTCCTTCTTTTCTCACTAGAGGCAAGCACTCACCAGCTTTCTGTGTAGCCGTCCAGTTCTTGTCTCTGTATTTTTACATGTTTTGTGTTTAAGAATAATACAAAGGGATGTAGGAAAAAAAAAAGAGAATACAAAATGTTAATGCAAAATGTTGCTTCAAGCAGGCTACACACACACACACACACACACACACTTTTTAACTAGACTCTTGCTGTATAGCCCAGGTTGGACTGGATCTCACTATGTAGCCCAGACTGCCCTCAAACTTGAAGTCCTCCTGCCTCAGCCTCCTAAGTGCTACGACTGCAGGCATGGCCAAATATGTCTGGCTATTTCTACTTCATATTTTAAAAATATATTTATATTATATTGCAATTTACACTTTTTTTTAAGACAGTCTGAGTAGACCAGGCTGGCCTGGAACTTACTAGATCTACCTGCCTCTGCCTTCTAAGTACTAGGATTAAAGGCTTACGCAGCCACATCCAGTGCAGTTTACTTATTACATTTAACATGGTGGGTTTTTTTTTGTTTTTGGTTTTTCGAGACAGGGTTTCTCTGTGTAGCTTTGCGCCTTTCCTGGGACTCGCTTGGCCTGGCTCTGCCTCCCGAGTGCTGGGATTAAAGGCGTGCGCCACCACCGCCCGGCCCGTTTTTCCTTTTTAAACCATTAACGTTCTTTACATCTCAAAGGCGTGGCGGGAATTCTAGGAAACTTCCTGATGGCCTTTCGGCCACTGAAAATGGTTCTGATGTGTGAAGAAGGGGTCAGGAGTGATCACGTGGCCTGTGAGCAGAGCACGGACGCGAATTTCAATGTCAAAACACCCAAGACAAGGAAGGTTTTCTGATCTAAGAGGGCAGACGGGCAAACGTTACAAATCCGTGGTAGGTTTGACACTTTGCAGCGTAGAGCAAGCCTTGTAAATCCAGATAACGGAGGAGACAGCAGAATACGAGCTGCCAGGCAGGCTCTTCCAAGAGGCCACCGGCTGACGCTGGGTAGTTGCTATGGGAACCACGGGACAGGGCAGCCAGAATTCTTGCGGCTCTTAGAATGCTTCTCCTTCCGGTTCTCCGTTCCTCACACCCCCTGTCTCTCCCCGTGAGCGTTCCGTCCATTCCGTCGGCCCCCATCCTCTCTCCTCGTGACTCTGGCTCGCCCCGCGCCGGGCCGCCATCTTGACCGCCTGGTCCAAGATGGCGCCTCGGGCCGCCCCAGGCCGAACCCAGGCCCAGCCCAGGGACGTCGGCGGGGTCGCACCGGCGTGAACCTGGGCACGGGGGGCGGGGCGGTGATGTCAAGACGTCGCCCCGCCCCCCGCGGTCGCCCCGCCCCCGGGCCCGCTCCGCCTTCCTCCCGCCCCGAAACCCGGAAGTGGAGGAGGAGGAGGAGAAGGAGGAGGAGGAGGCGCGGCGGCGGAGCCGCAGGAGCTGGCTGAGCCCTGCCCAGGAGCAAGTGTGGGGTCGGGGTCGGGGGGCGGGGCTCAGCAGCCCGGGCGGCCTGGCCTGGACGGGGCGGGGGAGGCCATGGCCTCCGCAGAGTTGCAAGGGAAGTACCAGAAGCTGGCTCAGGAGTACTCGAAGGTACCCATCGTGGGTGGGGAGTCAGGGGTCCCTGGCCCTGCGGCCTCGCCTACCTTGGCAGCAATTCGGGACGGTGGGGGATGATGCTGAGGGCTCCTCCTCTACCTCTCCACCTCCTGCTTCCACCATTACGGTGCCTCCACCTGCAGCTCCAGGGAGATAGGGCCGGGCGGTGTCTGGGTCCGTGTGCGTCTCTGCAGAAAGGAGCTGGAGTTGGATTCTTCTCGCTGGACCAGCCGGCTTGGAAGTGGGATGACAGAAATCCGGGGCTCAGTCTTTGGTGCTGGCGTGAGAGGAAGGGAGGAATGTGGGACCACCCCTTTGCTCGCTGCTTCCTCAGTTTGCCCAGCCCAGTGATGGGGAAGAGCACCATTCTCCCTTCCCGAGGGGATGGTCTAAGGATAAAGATACCTGCTTCCATATCAGTTGGGGAGGGTAATAGTGAGTATCATCCGTGTAAACTGCTTTCGTGGGACAGGTGCTTTAGAATACAGATCTTTCCTGGGACAGGTGCTTTAGAATACAGATGTTTACTGGGACAGGTGCTTTAAGAATACAGATGTTGTCTCCTGTAATTTTGACAGCTTGGGTGGTGGGGCCGTGCCCTTTTTCTTGTATCTTCCTTACTGGAAAGGGGCAGTGCACTCAGCAGGCTCTCCTTATGTACAGAATTATGCAAAATAGGGACCTGGTTCTCTGTAGTGTTAGTCTTTCAGATGGTTAAACCTTTTTCTTGGACAAGGGTGGTGCAGTTTCTGGGTAGGGTTTTCTGCCTTAAAAATATTCTAATGAAGTTATTAAAGCAGAATCTCATGTCTTTGGAAGTGATTCAGTAGTCGTGGTTAATTTTCCAATTATCTTGGCATTCATAGAATTAATGAAAAGATTTAGTCCCTCTTATAATTTGGAAAACCCAAAAGACCACACCCCTTTATGATTTTATTAAGCAAGGAAACATTTAAAGAAAAATGAAACCTGCACCTGACATGCACTCTCAAGTCTTCAGCATCAGAGGGGAGCCTTTGGTGATGCTCTGCGTGTCCCAGTCCTGCTGCCATGGACAACCTCCCTTTGCATTTCCCTTTGGAATCACTGTCAGATAGTGAGTTGTCTTTTGAGGGGGACTTCCTTGTTTGAAAGAGCCAGAAGTTTGGAACAATTCCACATGATGAAGGAGGGTGGGTGGAGGATGGCAGTGCCCAAATTTGCCACTACTATTTTTGGTTGAAAATGTTTCTTGCATATAAAGTAAGGGGGCCGATTTCCATCTCTGGAGGGTAAACAAGCTTGAAAGGCGGGTTCCAAATGGCCAGTGAGTAGTTCCAGAAATGCACAGAGCAGTGGCCGCATTGCTGAAATAATTCTGTCACCTCCTGAAGTAATAAAAGAAGAAAGATTTTATTCTTTGGGTATGTAAGCATAACAAACTCATGTTATTATGTGCACCCTGCGAACAGTGTGCAGGGGTCAGTTGAGTGATCCAGAGTTCCAGCTGCAGAGTCACTTTTAAAGATTTATTTATTTATTATATATACAGAAGAGGGTACCAGATCTCATTACAGATGGTTGTGAGCCACCATGTGGGTGCTGGGAATTGAACTCAGGACCTCTGGAAAAGCAGTCGGTGCTCTTAACCTCTGAGCCATCTCTCCAGCCCCCAGAATCACTTTTAATAGACTCTTCAAATATGGTATATAATTATGATATTGTGTGACAAGTGACGTTCAGTGCAGCACAGAGGAGAGGTCACTGGGTAAGCATGGAAGTTACTCAGATAAGGGAGCAGGAAAGGGTGTTGGAGAAGGTGGTAGCTTCCCATGTAAAGAAATTAGCCTGTGTTTGCTGTCAGGAAAGCCCCTTAAGATCCATGGTGGAATTTGGTGAAAGGGGGTGGGTCAGATCATGAAGGTTGTGGATTTTGTCAGATAAGATGTGTGCAGTGGGAATAAGGTCGAAGAGACCTATTCATCTATCCATCCATCCATCTATCTGTATTTACTAGTGTGTGTGTGTGTGTGTGTGTGTGTGTGTGTGTGTGTGTGTGTGTGTATGTGTGTGTAGGGGGACGTGTGTGTGGTGGTCAGGAGATAGCTTTTGGGAGTTGATTTTCTTCTCCATCTTGTAGGTTCCAGGAATTGAACTTAGATCATCAGGGTGGGTAACAAGTGCCATTAATGACTGAGCTGTCTTGCCATCTTCCAAAGGGTGTGGTAGTACGTTTGGGAAGGAAGCTGGTAACTATATGGTAGATAGGTTGAAATAGGGATTTAGGTTGTTGGACCACACTGGGAAGAAAATCAGGGTTAAGTAGTTAGTGACTGGAATGGAGAGGAGTTTTGATTTAAAAATACTTTTACCTTACTCTTTTTTGAGGGCCTGCTTTGTTCATAGCACCAGACTCAGCAAAGACATGAAAAGTACATACGCCATTCCTCCTTGGGCCTTCCTTCAGGACTTGGTGTTGGTAGAGTTCTGAGGTGAAGGATTGTGAAGAATCGATCGTACTACCCAAGGAAGGTCAGGTGGGAGCAGAGGGGCGTTTTAAAAATGTAGACTTAGAATTTAGGGATGCAGGACATGTTAAAAGTCGCATGTTTCATATGTTAGCTTGAGGAGATGTTGAAGATAATTGCTGAAAAATTTTTAATGGAGATGAACTGGCTAAAAATGGAGGCAAAAACTAGTTCTTTTAAATAGTCCTATGAAGTGGGTATGGGGAACACCTGTAGGAATGATGTGCCAGGAAGAGGAGCCACTAAGGAGGTCGGCTGGACTTGGGGGTCATTTCTCCTGCTGGGCCAGATCATCTCATTCTTTTGTTTGCACTGTCATGGACATTTCTAAACATAGAAACGTAGAGGCTGGGTGAGGTGGCTCAAACCTGAGGCAGGGGGATTGCTGTGAGTTCTCTATATAGACCAGCCTTGGCCTACATAGAGAATTCCAGGCTAGCTAGCCTGTGCTACAACGTAAGACCTTGTCTCAAACACACCACACACACACACACACACACACACACACACACACACCTACACACTACACACACACACACACACACACACACACACACACTGTTCACACATAGGCAGATACTGGTCAAAGTTCTTTCCTGTCAGTTCTAGCGCAAAGCAATTTCTAGGTTAGTCTCTACCCTTGACGGCCTTGTGCCCACTGAAAAGGTATTTTACCTTTTTACTGCCTTCCCTGGTACACAGATTGTGGGCTGATACTGAAATCTACTTGCATTGTTCTTCTACCTTATTTAGGATGCTAAGGAAAAAGATCTGTTACTATGGAAAAGGAGAGAGGCAGGCAGGATTCCGGAACCAGGACATTTGCATTCCTCCCCATCCTCTTCTGAGCAGATCTCAGCCTGTGCTGGGGGAGGGGGGTCCTTTCCTTACTCAATAGCATGGGCAGATATTTTCCCTTGAGAATTTTTTTTTCAAGAGTGATGTTAGTTTGGGAATAACATCACAATGAAACACATGCAGAAGTAAATTATGGGAGTATTCAGAGAGACTGGGGTAAGGTAAAAGTTCTCAATGACAGAAATACAGAGGATTACAGCAGATTTTTTAAAAAATACTTTTTCATTCTTTGACGATTTCATATATGTATGCAGTGTATCTAGATCATATCTGACCCCATTCCCTTCTTCCTCTCCTCCTGGTCCCCAAACATGTCCCCCTTGTACCTTCATGTCTTTTGAGTCCTCACTGAGTCCAGTTAGAGCCGCCTGCACGCACAAGGTGCTAGACCATTCATTGGAGCCCAAGCATCCTACCAGGATCCATTGCCCCAAAGAAAATTGACTCTGCCTTCCCCCTCAGCCATCAATGCCAGTAGCTTCTCAGCTGGGGTTGAGGCTTTGGCAGTCCCTCCCTTAAGCTACTTAAGTAACTGTGGAAGGAGACTGAGAATATTGTTAGACCAGAGCAGTGGTGGAGACCAGGGCAGTGGAAAGTTGTAAGGCGAGCACATTGCTAAAACAAAGGGTTCCAGAAGGATCAGTGTAAATGGATGAAGACCCCAGTGGTTTGGACAGTGGAAATCATGGGAGGCTGACCACAGCTTCAGTAGTTCTGGGGAAGGAAAAGATCTGTCTAGGTTGGTTTTCAGAGGGTTTTTGAAGTGGGCAGGTAAAAATGCAAGCTACTTCTCTGAGATGTGAGGAAAAGCTAACGAAGGCCCAACTGCCACATTATATATTAAAAATAAAAGACCATGTGGTGCTCACCTTTCCTTTGCCATTGTTGCTCTCCGGATTCTCTGGTGTATCTGATGAAGAAAAGAGGTGAAGAGTGCTATTCTGGTTGTTTTATTCCAGCCTGCTTTCCTTGACAGAGCGCTTTTGCCTGGCACCATGGCATGTGCTTGAACAAGGTTCGGGATCTTCCCAGCACTGATGCTGAGTCTGAGCCCCAGTTCCCCCTCAGCAACACCATTTGAGGATGGGGTAGAAATACAGTCTCCTGAGTCTACCCTGGACCTGCGGAATCTGAAACCAGCAGTGGGACCCAGCAGGGGGACCCAGCAGTCTGTGTGGTGGCAAACCTCTGTGATTTGAATACACACTGTATTAGTAAGCTGTTGCCACAGCAGAGTTCCCCAGGAAGCAGGTGACTTGGAGAAGGCTTATTTAGCTCACTGCTTTGGAGGGTCAGAGTCCAGATGGAGCAGTGCAGGCTCAGTGTGAGCACCTGCTCAGCACATGGTGAATGCAGCGGCAGGGTCTTGAGAGGAGCAGAGGAAAGACCAGGTTTGCATTCCTCTGAGGCCTCGTGACCTGGGAACCTCTTGCCAGACCCACTTCTTAATGTCCATAGCACCCCCAAAAAACAACAGCAACAACAACAGAACCGGCCTACCCTAGACACCAGCTTTTACGTCTGACCTTTAGGGGACATTTAATCTCTAAACCTGAACACGTGATAAACTTTGAGGATCATCTTTCAAAGAATGTTATCAGTAAAATAGCCTTTGTTCTGATAAGATGTCTTTTCAAAGCTCTCTTTGCAGTCTTTAGAACCAGCAGGGAAGCCAAACATTATTTTCCTAGCAGTTTACTTTGCAATTGATGCGCCTACTTATGAAGATGGATGGCCTTTGGGAACCTTTCAGCCGTGTTTCCTGGTACAGAGCTACTTGGGAAAGGGCCAGTTTGGGTCCAGTTTGCTCTCCAGATGATGAGGCTTGGTGGAACCTGATGAATCACCAGCTCTAAGAGAAACAGCCTTGGTCTGGATTGCATGAAAATCCAGTACCAGTTTTCCCTGCTCTTTGTTGTTGTTTTTGAGACAGGGTTTCTCTGTGTAGTACCCTTGGCTGTCCTGGAACTCACTCTGTAGACCAGGCCTCGAACTCCCAGAGATTCACCTGTCTCTGCCTCCCAAGTGCTGGGATTAAAGGCGTGCCTCGCCATTTCTTTGATCTTGATG